TTAATTGTTATTGGGGTATCATATGTGGTTATTGTTTGGGACGAACAATATTAAGGAGGGGGCAGTGTTGCGTCAGCGAGTCACATGACCACTGTGGCGCCCTCTAGTTTCTAGAACTATCTTGTTCTTTCAGGAATGCTCAAGTAATTGCTAGATATAGGGTAGGCTGGTATATAAAAGAAGAATTGTAATGTGTGTGTAGATAGTGAGTAATTGATCTGCGGTCGGAGTATTATTGACGTTCGTTGCTATAGCGTTTGTTTAGCGCGATTGTTGAAGTTAAGTGTATCGGTTAAGTTATATTCGGAAAGAATAAACCAGTTTTATTAAGTAAAGGCATGTGTCGCTTAAGTTTCGTCGGTACGAAGTTACGGAAAATCAATTAAAAAAACGGAGACGTAACAATATTACATTATGTAAGTGGGATTTTGCTACTGTTATATAAACAGAAATGTTTCTAGGTTCTTGTGATCCAGTTTTGTGATTAGCTACAGATCGGGAGAGGAAGTTTGATATTTTTAGTCAGAGTAATTTTCTGACACCCAGAACTCACTTGTGAAATAGATTTTTTGACTGGACATTTAGTGATGATAACATTTCATACTAAATGTAAACTGTTTCGACCTTCTCCACGGCATGTTGTTGTTGTTGGTTGGTGTTTTTATGGCGCAAAGCAACGAGGCTATCTGTGCGAAACAACCAGTAAAAACAGTGAAAGTAAATTAAAGTAAAATGTAAAAAAACAGTGAGTTAAAACCAAAATATGTCGATAAAAGATTTATATACAATTAAGACCTATAGTGTGTAAAAAATTAAAAATACAATCTAATCCGTCAACAGCGATCCACCATGGACCATCTGATTCGACTTGAAACGTCGATCAGGGAAGTCTTTCTCAAGAGAGAACACCTTGTTTCTGTGTTCTTCGATCTTGAGAAGGCTTATGACACTACGTGGAGGTACGGAGTTTTGCAGGACCTCCACTCCTATGGGTTGTGTGGCCATTTACCCATTTTTATCCGCAAGTTTTTACAGAACAGGCGATTCCAAGTCCATGTGGGTTCCACTCTTTCCCGTTCCTTTCCACAGGAACTTGGAGTCCCTCAGGGCTGTGTCTTGAGTGTCACACTTTTTAGTGTTAAAATTAATGCCATCACTACAAATCTTCCTCCGATTGTTGCAAATGGGCTCTATGTCGACGACTTCCACATCTCGTGTCAGTCGTTGAACATGAGGTTTATTGAGTGGCAGCTTCAGACTGCCCTCAATCAGTTGTTGACATAGGCCACTGCAAATGGTTTTAAATTTTCTTTTTACAAAACCGTTTGCATGCATTTTTGCCGCCAACGGGGTCTCCACCCTGATCCTGAGCTTCGTCTCGGTGATATAGTTATTCGTGTGGTCCCTGAGGCAAAGTTCTTGGGGTTTATATTTGACCGTAAGCTTAGCTTCATTCCACACATCAAGCAGCTACGTGTCAAGTGTGCAAGGGCTCTGAACATCCTCCATGTCCTCTCTTCCAGCTCTTGGGGAGCATATCAATGTTCTATGCTCAGGATCTATCGTGCCATGATTCGATCCAAACTGGACTATGTGTCTATGGTTCCGCCACGACCTCGGCCCTGAAGATGCTGGACCCCATTCACCATCTGGGGCTTCGGCTCTGCACCGGTGCTTTTCGCACTTCTCCAGTCCAGAGTTTGTACACTGAGTCCCACAAACCTCCTCTTCACCTCCATTGTTTGCAACTTTCTTTACAATATGCTACTAAACTTCGATCCTTACCACAGCATCCCACCTAGGATTGTGTTTTTCTTCCTCGGTGGGCAATGCTCTTTCAAAACAGACAGTCTGCTATTCCTCTGTTTGGCCTTCGTATCCGGGCAATACTGGCTGAATTGGGTCCTGCATTGGATGACATTGCTCTCCCCAATGATCAGCCCATTCCACCATGGCTTATTACTATCCCATCCTGTGACTTTTTCTTGAGTCACCTGGGGAAGGCGGATACTCCCGATTGGAAGTACCGTCATCTTTTCGCTGAACATCTTTCGAACCATTCTTCTCTTCCTACTTACACAGATGGTTCGAAATTGGGTGACTCTGTAGATTCTGCCATGGTTTGCTGTGGCTCGGTAGTTGCTCGCAGGATCCCCTCTACAGTTTCTGTGTTCACTGCCAAGTTGTATGCTATTTCTCTTGCCCTGGATCATATGGAAGCTATGCAGTACAGTAATTGTACTATTTACACTGATTCTTTTAGCTCTCTACAGGCCCTGGAATTGCTTAACGTTAGTTCTCACCCTGTTCTCGTCGATATTCAACACCGATTGGCCCATATTTTCTTTTTTTCTATTTCCATCCAGTTTTTCTGGATCCCCGGCCACGTCGGTATTCACTGGAACAAGCTTGCTGACACCGCAGCTAAATCCGTCTGCTCTGGTGCCATCAAGGCTGTGCCTGTCCCATACATGGACTACGGTCCTGTCTTTAAGGCGCGTTTTGTGCCAGTTGGCAGTCGACTTGGAGTGAGCAACGCCAAAACAAGTTTTTCTAGATCAAACCTTCTGTTGGTCTTTGGCTGTCTTGCTTCCGTAAGGAGGAAGTAGTCCTGGCAAGGCTACGCATTGGTCATAGTTTTTTAACCCATCGTTTTCTTTTATCAGGTATTGACCCACCGGTGTGTAGCCATTGTGACACTCAAGTCACAATAGTCCACATTTTACTGTCATGCCATCGTTACGACCGTGAGTGGCGGCACCATTTTAGACACATGTTTTCTAAAAGTTTACCCCTGACGCTGGACATTGTCATTGGTAATGGTGACACTGTTCGAACCCACATTGGGTGGGTGAGAGGATCATGTTTGATTCCAGGAACCAGACAAGACGAGCATTAACCATCCTCTTTAGAACCTTACAAAGACAACTAGTCAAAGCGAAGGGACGATAATTAGAAGGAATCTTAGGATCCTTCCAGGTTTGGAGAAAGGGAGGACAATAGCCTGGCGCCAAGCATCTGGAAATATATGTTCCTGCTGCATCCGGTTAAAAATAACCAGAAGAATAACTAGAGGGGCAGGAGAAAGAGGGCGCAACATCTCATAATGAACATCATCAGGTCTGACCGATGTACTGCCAGATCAATGAAGAGCAAGTTTGAGTTCCACCACTGTAAAGGGGCAATTATAATCATAGAGACGATCGGCCCGAAAAGAAAGAGCCGATCGCTCTGCCCGAGAC